TTGTTAAGGATAAGACGTTTGAAGGAGTAGATGGAAAGTTTTGAGGAGGACGTGGAATAGGCTTCCCTGAAGAGGTGAGTTTTCAGGGATCGCCTAAAGGCAGACAGAGTAGGAGATAGCTGGATAGGTTGTGGTAGGGAGTTCCAGAAGATGAGAGAGGCTCTTGAGAAGTCCTAGAAGTGAGCATGGGAAGAGTTGATGAGGGAGCTAGACAGAAGGGAGGTCCTAGGAGGAGTGGAAAAGACGGTTTGGGTGATATCTTGAGATGAGGTTGAAGATGTAGCCCGGGGACAGAGTTGTGGATGGCTTTGTATGTTGTTGTTAATATTTTAGGAGGGATTGACACAGAGGGGTGGTGGCCACGGAGCGGTTGGTGGGGTGGATGAATCTGGTAGCAACATTCATAATAGGCTGAAGGTGGGATAGCCTGTTAAGATCTAGGCCAGACGAGGCAGGTCGGAAACTGCGTTTGCTCACCTTTCCTTCCTGGTTGCTGATTAGTAACAATCATTCAGAGTGGGCATTTTCAGGTCAGGTGTTTAGTAGAACACATAAACAGGATTACAGCTTTGGTTAACTTTGGACTTTCCATCTCTTCCACAGTTAATTGGGCACGAAAATGGTACGCAGTTTCTAATAATGTATCTAATAAAAATGTAAAACTATATACATATATTTATTGATTAAAATATTTTATATATATAAAAATATATGTTTATTGAAGATGTTGTATATGCATTAGGTTTAGATATTTTGTAAGATTTAGTAAGATGGATTTTTTTTAAAGTAACGTGGTATGGGCATGATTAATAAGGTTTGGGCAATTTTTAAGCTGTAATAAGCAAGCAGTTGTTTAGCCAACACAATGCCTCTAATACAGTCAGTGGACTAAACATATCAGGCATGCTAGAGCTGGTGTTTTGAAAAAGCAGGAAATCAATTGACACCAAGGTGAGAATGAAAGGATGGACAACGTTTCACGTCAGCATGTGTCCTCAGTATATTGACTTTGCTATAGCTAGATGTGAGTGTGCATTTGCCACTTGCACGTATATACTAATTATGTATCAAGTTCCTGTCGGCTTTACTGGAGGAAAGGTGGAAAGTCCCCGGAGAATTGAAGCTATAATCCAGTTTGTATCTACTGCCATGGACCTTGAGGGTTACCAAAATCTGGGAGGAGGAAGAACAGCACGGGGCGATCGCTGTTGCTACAGTCGAGCATCTGAAGAATTGATGAACAGGAGGATGTAAAAGAAGCATTTATAGACCTTCAGAAATGCAAATCTGATGTTTCTATTGAGGGCTGAATTTGATGGGTATTAGTGTGTACTTGAAAGTGTGACTGTTCAATTGGGTGTTTTGACTCAACTTTGTCTTTTTTGATCTGCATGCTTGTTCCAGGTCAGTGTATTCAAGTGTAGCAGCCAGATAGCCTTTCTTAGGTATTTGCAGATGTTCTTAGAGGATGACTAAATCCAAAAAAGCATGTAATATATTGCAGCTTACAAGTCTTCAGAGGTGGTGACTGCATTAGTTTTATTTTTTTCCAGGCTAACAACATTATCAGCAAATACAGAAACTACCTGTTGATCTCCCCAGAAATGGTGTCCTTTATCTCCATTAGATCAGTAGAAACTACTGATACAACGGTGATGAACAAAGGCAGTCATAGTATTAGTTCAGCCTGAGTGGCAAAAATGACTTTCCCCAAAGATACAGTAGAGGAGAGAAAAAACATCTGGCTACTCTGTGCTACATCAATGGGAATGACTTCTTATCCGGTACTTCCAGTCATTGCAGGTGCCTGTTTTTTATTGATCTTTCAGGTTTGCAAATGTTTCTGTTTCGATTCATTGCTTTAAAGTGTATTTCCTCTGTATGTTTATGTGTTCCTATTCTCACAGCATACATAAACATATATATTTTTAAAATATTTCTTACCTTTTTGTAGAGCTGCAGCTAACGATTATTTTCAAAATCGATTAGTTAGCCGATTATTAAGCTCGATTAATCGGTTAATCGGATAAACAATAAAAAAAAAATGTAAAAATGGCTCCAGTGATGGGACTACTAGTTTGTATTGAGATTGTAGTCCATCACAGGAGCAAGCTTGGTGCGGTGGAAAAAAATAGTGTGGTGTGCAATATAGTGAAAAGGAAAGTGTAAAATTATACAGCAATGAATGCAGAATTGCACCGGCTATAGAGGACTACAAATCCCAGCAATAGTACATTATAGCTGGCGGCATTCTGCATTGCGCTGTATAATGTACTATTGCTGGGATTTGTAGTCCTCTATACAGTGCAGTGCAGAATATCACCAGCTATATAGGAATACAACAAATCCCAGCAATACATTATACATACAGTGTATAATGTATTGCTGGATGTGTATTCCTATGTATAATATACAGCACAATGTACCATAAGCTATAGAGGAATACAAATCCAAGCAATACATTATAGAGCACCATGTGGGGGGGAAAGTGCAGGCTTACCTGAGCAGTCTTCCAGCAACTTGCTTCTGAGATCGGACCTGTCTATCAGCGGCTGTCATCCCCCCACACCTGCTCCTCCTTACTACATCTCCCCGCGTCCCTGTGCCAATCGTGGATGTGGGCGGGCGGTGAGTGTGAGGCGGGGAGGAGGTGCGGCGTGGATGCGGGCGGGCGGGTCTGGCAGCGGCGAGAGTGAGGTGGGGAAGAGGTGCGGTGCGCAGCGTGTGTGGAGCCGTGAACAGGGCCAACTGATCATAAGCCGACTTTTAGTAACAGCAAAATCTGTCCCAATAAAAAGACTAGGAATAGACTGCGCTCCCACTCATTAACATACAATGTTCTAGATCTTAACCGTTTATTAGGAGTGTTCAAATCTAGTTTACAACTTACGATGAGATTTGCCATCACAGTACATATAGGGTTAAATATGTTAAAGTGACATTAAACCCTCAGATCTTTTAACATAAACCAGATTTAGATACAGATTTAAAAGGAAGAACAGCAAAGAGAAGGGAAACAACCATGGATTACAGTAAGGCACACATTACAGTATTGTTTTATGTTAAAAAATCTGAGGGTTTAATGTCACTTTAACATCAATCTCCTCACCCCCTTGCATTCTAGGGGGAATTCGGTTCAGAGAACAACTTTTCTTTCAGAATTGAGCATGTTTTTTTGCAAGCAGCAATTTATTGTTTAAGTTCTGCTATGTGATGAATAAACATGTAACAAATAGTGGAAATACACTTTAAAAGAGAACTATGGGCCAAACATTTTTGGCCATAGTTCTCCTAAGGATCACAGGAGGACATATACTATGCGCCCCTGTGACCCAAAACTCAGCGTATAGCCGACACAGTGCAAAGCTGTGTTGCAGTCGGGATGGATCCTAACCATATTGTCGTGATCCACCCTGCCACCTGATTGACAGCTGGCTCTGCCCTCTAGAGGCAGAGCCAGCTGTACCCTTCCCCATCCCTCCAGTCAGCATCAGAGAGGGGAGGGGATAATGCCTGCGGGGAGTGGTGACTGGCAGTCACCGCTCTCTGCAGGGAAAAGATCGGGAAATGAGTGATCTGTGGTATGTGATTGCTCATTTCCCAATCTGTAGAGCTGACGTGTGACAGCTTAAGTGTCGCACATCGGCTCTAATTATGGGGATGTGTGTTTTTCACTCTCCCCATAATACTCCTTTAAGGTCTTGCTCACAAGGGCTTCAGCTGGTATAAGAGCACTGTGTCCAACAATCTTTGGGAAAGCTGCTGGCAAGCTACAAACAACCTTGTTGAAGCCTTATTTAGCTCTATTATAGTGAGGTTAAACACAGATCATCACGGGAGTGCTGACTGACTTAAAAATAACGATGCACCGATACTTTTCAGATACCAGTGCCGATACTTTTCGAGTACCAATGCCGATACTTGGCATTTTCCTGAGAATTACCAGGGTTGCAGAGGTTGCAGCTGGGAACTGGCTCTGGTGCTCCACCACTGTCCTGAAATCATTAGTCTGTATTGTTTTAGAAAAACGGTCACATGACACTAAACAAAAATGTAGCACTACTTGTACGTACTTGGGCAAGTATCAGTACTTGTACTCGCAAAAATGGTATTGGTGCATCCCTTTATTTATATTTATAAAAACAAAATCATACATTAAAACAGTAATGTACAAATCCCTGGAGCTCCGTGTGCTCCTTAGAAATGACAGCTGCCTCCTAACTTTTGAATTTTTCTCTAGTCTAGTCTTGGAGCTCGAAAAGTATCTGTACTTGTACTTGTACCGAGTACGGTACTTGGTAGCGGTGCATCCCTACTTAAATCTAACTTTCAACATCCTGTCCCACACTATTGCCTAAGATCAGTGTTGTAGGGTGTGGGGCCAATGGTGGCACCAAATAAATCTGAAGCAGAAATGTCACATAAAACTAGCTGCTAGCAGGTTTTGGAACAAGCTTGTTAAATCGCTTACTAAAGTGGATTTAAAGTGACAGTCAGCACTCCCATTAGGATCTGTGCTTAACATCCCCAAACTAGAACTAAAAATGTATTTAAAAGGCTTCAACAAAGCTGCTCAAAGCTTACCGAACGCTTAGTAAAAGCGTGCTGTACACACCACTGTTATACAAGATGAAGCACGTGTAAACCAAGTCTAAGGATCATAAGCATTAATACATTATTTTTGTACATGTTAAACATACTGAACTTTTTAATCTCAGTCTGTTTTACTAATATAAATTACATTAGCAATAATTCAGCGGCAACACCCATAATTACAGCATAGAACTTTCCAAAATACATCTTTGTACTCACCACCAGTATTATGTCAACAGTGACATATTCACAGATTGCGTGTAGGAAGACTGTTTATGTAGGAATTGCAGTTTTCTTACAGTGTAAGGATACTCTGTGTTCCTACATGTTCTGGCGATAGTACAAATCACATGAGGAGAATTCGCTGTAAAACTACATTTTGCTGTAATTGTTTTCTTTAATTACAGGGGATGGAGAGAGGCGCTAAGGGCCAGTTCTCGACCTTCAGCAGTTTCATTTCAACTATCAACCAAAAGAAAGAGGCCGCTGGGAACAGATGCTCATCTACGCAGCTTGTAATACCTAACAGCAAAAACGGTAAATAAAAGTATTGTGTGCACAGCTGCTCCAGAGGAAAGCAGCAAACAACACGGTGTGCAGAACTCTGATGGATAAATGAAGCTTTGGCAGAGTCAATACAGAGACTTGCAATTTGGTCATGTTACTTTTATTTTTTTTGCACAAGTCGTAGTAGCAATAGAGTTCTAGAGCCAGTTGGTCCAATAAAGAATCATGCAGCTATGAAGAGCTATTGAGCAAGTGATTTGACTACAATAATTAAGAGGTGCCAGCACTATTGTGGTCTTTTGCTTTAGTTTGTCCAGCCCTGGTTTAAATGTAATTCCCTAGCTGCTTCTAACCTTTCAGCATGGAAGCACAGAGGGCTGGCTCACTCCCCTGCATGATTCTACGCCAGTAACATCACCCATTATAACAAGCCCGGAACATCACCCATAGCAGTCAAATACAGTGGCGTTTATACTGGATATGTTTATTAAGTAAGGCAGTGTAGTATGGAAAAATGTGCAAAGTAACTTCACCAATAAAACCCAATGAGCTTTCAGTGGCATGGTTGAAATTGGTTAAACTTTATGGGTTTATTGAACTTTGCATGGCATCATTGCTCTTGGCATTGCCATACTGCACAAATCTATCAGAGTACCACTGTATATCAAACTATGATGCAGGACAAAAGGGGCAAGCGTTTTTCTTATAAATCTCCATTTACACTTATATCTGAACAGACAACATAACAAACTGTGATACACTATATGGCCCCATTCACACTGAGTGTTTTATCGTGCGATATCGTGCATATTTACATTGCGATATTGCTCTCCAATGCATGCCAATGTGGCTCCGTTCGTCGCTGCTGCGCGTCGCTACCACAGGACCCTTTTTGGAGCAGATTTCGACATGATTCTACTTTGCTCAATGCAACCATTTGCGCGATATCGCGCAGCAAACCGCGCGATATCCCGCGGCAAACCGCGCGATATCCCGCAAAATGACAAACGCGCGATTTGCGATACGCTCAGTGTGAATGGGGCCTAAGTGTGCTAAAGCTGGGTGTTTCTTCTTCAGTAATTTGTTAAACCAATTCTTTACTATCCAAAAAAAAGTAAAGAAGGCGCTGAAAACTTACAGCACGTCTCTTGCCGACAGTGAATTTCAACTTCGCTCTCTGTCAGAGCTAAAGCCTTTGTCAAAATCTGTAGCATCCATTAAGGACCCATTTACACCAGGGAAGTCCACTGCCATGCTATTAATGCACATTATGTTACATGTTGCACTAAAACAGGCTATTCATCTACATAACACAGCACAGCACGTTACAGCGTGCTGCAATGCAAGTGTGTTTGGAAGGTGCTTTGCAGTGACATTCACAGTGCATGGCACCGCAAAGCCCATTCACACCTCCGCGCTGCTTTAACATGCGTTACGTATGTTAAAGCAGCACAGTGGTGTGAATGGGCTCTTAAAGTCTTCTCCTTTCGCAGGAAGTCTTAATTATTTGGGATAGTGACGGAGTTGCTTTAAAGAGGTCTTGCAGTTGAAATGTTTTTGCACTCTAACTACTTTGAAGTCAGAACTGAATGTTATATTTAGTTTTACTTACTGTGATTTGTTATAATTATATCACACACTGTACACAACTCATCATTTAGTGTAAGATTGTATATGATGTATTGACAGCTGTATGTTTCGGTTTATCACACAGCAATGCTCCACATACATAATACCACATTACACCTAGTAGACAAGTAATAGCTAAGGACTTCTTTAGTAAGATCATGTAAAGTGCAGTGATATGTACACTGTGCCTACAAAAGTATTTACTGCCTTGAAAGTTTTACTGTTTCAGGCTACATTTACACTAGGTGATTTGGGATGGCTGCGACAGGAATCCCAAACGTCCCGTATAGATGCGGTCATTGTACCAGTTCAAGCTAATGACCGAGTGACAGCAGCCGCATCTGTGTGGCAGTTGGTATGCAATTGTATGTCATGCGATTGCATGCCATTTGGATCAGATCACTGTCCCTGGATGCAGCAACGATGATCTATTCCAAACTGCATATGGACAGCGGCTGCATCTACAATGGGAGATCTGGGATTCCTGTGACATTTAACGGCTTGTTGTAGCTTATTTAGCGTGGCAGCTTGTATAAGTTTTGAGCTCATACATAGAAGTATACCAAAAGAGATTTGAAGGTACCTAAAAGAAAAATTATACTAAGAAACATTGTGGCTTGGGACAGTCACAGTTAATCCAAATCTATTTCTACAAATAACTTGGTTTGTTTTACACACGCAAGAAAAAATGCTAATATAACATCTTTAAAAGACCACAAATCTAATTATGTATTTCTTAGGCAAGAAGAAAGAAAATGGGATAGTATTTATGCAGATGGCAGTAGTATCTATTTAAATGTAATGCTGGCTAATATTTTCCACTGGCTGATCCAGCTATATAAACCCTGAACTTGCAGCTCTCAAGTATCTTGGGAAATTAGTCGTCAGACATCTAATAGCACAATGGTAAAAGGAAGATACTCAACATGGCACAAAGAGTAATACTTTGCGATATACCAAAGCTGTCAATAATAAAATATAACTTATGTAAACTTCTATTATTATATAGCTGCTTTGGTTTGTGGCACATCATGTGTGCCATGTTACTAAATGTAAATGTGGGTTTGTCTGCGTTCATTGGATAATAGGTAGAAGAGATAGTTACCTGCACACCATGCAATCCAATGCATCAATATGTCTTTTATTGAGGGCAGATACACAAGGTAACACAAGTAAGAGCAATGTTTCGGAACCTACCGAGGTCCCTTCATCAGGCAAATAACATAGTCACTGATGAACCAACATGGTAGGTTCCAAAACGTTGCTCATAGTTGCGATGCCATGTGTATCTGCCATAAATACATAAATAAAAGGATGTATTGATGCATTGGACCTTGTCTACGTTTAAATTTGTGCAGTGCCAACCGCACGTCATCCCAGCACCCTTCTACATACTACAGTGGGATTCCAGTCTGGTGTGTAATGGGATATCTGTTTACATTGGGTAATAGGGGCGGCTATACTGTGAAAAATCTTTTAACGGGGGGGAGGGGGGTTGGGGGGCTGGTGTTTGTCAGTCTGGTCGTTGAGGGATGGAGATACCACTGAAAATCTGTGACAATTGACACACAGCTTACGCTTACGTACCAGCAAATTGTTTCTAAAATGGCCACAAAATATAACCCACTTAAACAATCTCCCACGTGTCCAGTGAAAATAACATAGTATGCTGAAGCCGTTAACTATCTGGTATGTGTGCAAACTTTTTCAGACTTTAAGAGGGACATAACGCAGTATACCATATGAATCTGTATATCTATCCATCTATCTATCTAATCTACTTGTCATTAACACATTATGGGCTTTGCGTTGCTCTTTCATCCAGTTTTCTCTCATTTGTTAGTAGAATGTGCCCACCACTTAGTGGGTATATGTGAGGGTTTATAGGGATGAGGAGTTGTTCAGTGTATTAAGTGTGTTTTTGGATATGTCATGACAGACTGAATGTTATAATCCTGGAATACCTGAGATGTCCTCTTTTTTTGGGACAATATTCAGGAACTATGCACTGGCTGGAAGACCTTATGAGCTACTGCTTACTATAAATATCAAATATTACCCAACAATATAGATCATCACACTTTCTTGTCTTACTCCATAGCCAGCATAATGACCACAACTATTCACTATTGCAGCTTTCTGTCTCCCTTGCTTGTTTAGTAAACTGGAAGGCTGGCTTCACACCTGTGTGTTACGGTAATGCACATTTTAGCAATGCCTTACAGTAGCTGCAAATATGCGCTGTGGTGTGCTATGTTGCCAAAAATGCTGCAGGTGTTTTTTCATGTGTTGGTGTACTGCCAGCCCATTCTAAATAAATAGGGCGCTTTAAAGAAGAATTCCGAGCTGAAGAAAACATAACCTTTGCAGTAGGGCTTCCCCCCAGGACTGCAAGGGTTACGTGCTTGTTTTCATCTAGTGTGTAAAAAAAAAAAAAAATTCACCCAAACCAGCTGCTAGACGGGTCCCCGTAGGTTCTCTCCTCCTCTGCTCCAGTGGTCTAAGGATTTGTGAGTCATCACATCTATTGCAGTGTATTATGTTCAATATTGCACTAAGGCAGCCTTTTCATTTCAATAGGCTGCCTAACACACCATGCGTTGCAATGCAAGTGCATTGGGAAGGTGCTTTGGAGTGACATTCACAATGGATGCCACCACAGCGCACCAACACAAGTAACATATGTTAAAGCAGTGCAGTGTTCTGAACAGGCTCTTAGAGTGTTTTTTCACAGGGAGCATTTCCATTTTTTGGGATAGTGACAAAGTTGCTTGGTCTTGCATGCATTTATACTCTAGCTACGTTGAAGTCAGATTTTTTTAAATTTGTGCAATTTGTTATAAATATATCACGCACTGTATGAATCATCATTTACTCACCCAAAGCTCGGTTCTGCCTGGCTGCTAGACCAGTCCCTGCAATACAGTGTATTAGATGTGAGGACACCAAGGGACATTCCATCACCAGAGAGTAGGGAGATAGAGAGGCTGCAGGGACCCGTCTTGCATTCAGGCAGGACCGAGGTTTCGAAAGAGTATATCTTTGTTATTTTAGACCCTAAACCAGGGGTTGGCAACCCGCGGCTCCGGAGCCACATGCGGCTCTTTCGTCCTTCTGCCGCGGCTTCGCTCCTACTGCCCACTGATCTGACAGATGCAGTGATCGGGGAACAGGGCGGTATCTCCGCATTTGTCGAGGCCTCGTCTCAGCACACCACAGACGAAGGTGTAGCTCCACCCCCTCCTGTTTGCTTAGCTGCCTTAGCGGGCTGGTCTATGCAGGAATTGTGGCCACGCGCCCTCACACCGTCTCCGTGGAACCGCCGCTGCTTCCAGCTGGGAGAGTGCAGAAAAACCTGGGGTGTCCCCTAGAAGGCCGAGAGTGTAAGTGTAAGTCCTAAG